AATATTAAATAACTAATAGGGAGACTGTATGTAATATTTCAGTGTTTTAATGAGCAATCCTTACATTCAAAATTGCAATTAATTATTTAAATATTTTAAGGCAACGAACGGCAACGATGACCAACGCGATTTAGAACGTAAATTATAAATAAATTATAAATAACGTAAATTATACACAGTTTCAAATGTTTTAACGAAATATCGGATTATGTTTCATTGTTTTGACACACTCAATAATAAATCTGTATAATTATGAAAAGAATTTATAACTAGGTGAATGTTTATAAAGTCCTCGGTCAAATTTATTTATATTTGATAATTATCGAGCTATCGTACTATCATAATTTGTAACAATCAGTTGATATTTTACAATTGACTTTCTCCAAATAACAATAGTTTTAACGTCAAATATTTGTAGAATCTATCTATATAACAATTTTCTTCTCAAATATTTTCGCAAAACTATTCTCCCATTTACTAGTACGTAACGAAAAAACATTTTAAAAGTTCCTTATATAACGATAATTAATTATACCTGAATCATCTAATCGATTTTCTAATGTATATCTATGAACTATTTATTAAGCCCCACAAAAGCTGGGAAAAGTTTATGAAACTTTATGTAATACGTAAATTATGTTAAATGTAAGCAGGCGCAATGTAATGGGAAGCCTGTTAATTCTTTTTTAAAAGTAGCTTTTTAAATTTTAATTATAGCGTCGCAATCTGAGAGTTTAGAGAAAGTCTCGAGGGGTAAGGGCGCACATGAAGTTTTTATTAATTGACATCGGTCATCTCCATTTAAGCAGACCAAGAGACATTATACATTTCTGTGCAAAATTTCAACGAATGGAATGATCAAGATTAAAAAAAAAAAATTATAATATACTTTAGGAAAGTAATATAAAATGACTTTTATATATTACTACGTGAATTTAAAGTAATGAGGAAAATAATACCATTAAACGAATATTTTACACAGAAATTATTAATTTTATTAAAATCGTTTTAAAAACGATATAATACATATGCTGTTGAAATAATGAAAAAATTATTTTATTATCAGGCAAAAGTAATGTCGATGTTTTTATAGGATTTTTTTTTTTTTTTTTTTTTTTTTTTTTTTCTCGGTCTCGGTACATTATTACATTAATACGCTTATAATACATGAAAATGATTTCATATTTTAATATGTTTTAATGCATTTGATAATAGACAAAATTTATGGTATTTAATATATTTATAATATACGTCGAAAGTATTGATAAAACGTTTCTACAAACAAGAATATTACACGAATTGAAATTGCTTGAACGCAAATGTCGATACTTACATTAATTGTGTACATTAAAATAATAAAAATTATTTGAATAAAGAAGAATATAAAATAATTTTTTATATACATGTTTCATACATAATACTTGGAATTTCGATGAAATTTCAATTTACATTTACATTGCATTTAAACAGAATCCTTTACACAGAATTCTTCTAATTATTTTATGCTTCAAAACAACTTACGTTGTTGATTTTCTAAATTTTGTAGATTTGGGATTATTGGAACACATTACTTTGCTTTCTCAATAAAATTAATCAAACAATGAGCTAATTGTGTCTTCTAATGGATATTACAAGAGCATAATTTTGAATGATATTTTTGTCTTTGGTAAAGTAAAATTTTTTGTATTTATTTTCCTGTAATACAAAATTATTTTCATTAATTTGCAATCGAATGATAATTCGTAGATTTTTAATAATATTATTGTAAAATACGCTTGAAACGAGACAGACTATAAGACAGTCAATAATAATGAGCAATGAATTTTATTACTATTCTATTGTTTTAAATATTTAATATTTTCCGACTAAATTTTCAATCAAGTTCACGTTGCATCTTAATTTTGCATATGAATTCTTTTGCTTTTTTTTTTTTTTTTATCAATAATCTCCGATATCGCGGGGTTCGATGAAATTCGAATGAAAAACTAAGGATCAAATTATGGATAAAAATTGTCGTATAATTAATTCAGTTGTTATTGAGCGTCAAAAGCTGCTAGGCTAATCACGAAAATACAATGGCTCGTACGAGATCGCGAATCCGTTAAATTGCATTTCACATTTACGAGTGGCGAGTCGAAGAATGTGAAGCTTTTACGATTAATGAATTCTATAACATTGCCCGGTTACGGGGTTATCGCGTTATATAACGACGTCCTTCCGTGAAAGGGTGCGGCATTCGTGAAAGCTGCGCAAAAATACAGTTAGCCATAAAAGGTTTGTGTGAAAAATTGCTTATTCCCTAAATTAGAGCGAGGTAGGGTAGATTACTTTGAGTGCATCTTGTCCGAAGCTCGATCGAGAGAAATTGACCTCAAAGTCATTTATACACGTAGTGCGGAGTTTGCAATTCATGCCGTTTATTCGGGTTTCGAGATGAGCCGGGTTTATCGCGCAATCTTGCATAGGTGGAAAAAAATAATAATAATAATAATAAAAATACCATTAAAATGTGAAGGGCGATTTTAAGGGAATTTTGAGGAGGAAGATTATTATGCTCGGTAGATAAATTGAAATGTTATTGCTTCGTGATATGTGATTTCAATTTGAGGACGGAAGAGACTGATATACTGATACAGCGCATATGTAAGCGCGGTGTCAATGTTTCCTCGGAATATTAATGAAAAAGTTGATTGTACGGTGCTGTTGTCTGACAATTGAGATTTATCGAGCTAAACAATTGGCCCTAATAATTATTTGATAAGTTCTCGCGATTACTTGTGTGTAAGTACTTTGCAGGAGAAAAACGTAGGAGCGAGGTAAATGCAATTGACCATCTATGAAGCTCGAGTGAACAAGTTGTCCCACATCTGTCTGGCTCGAATATTCCAAAAGCTACGATGCCATTGCACTATGTTATACATCGTTACTTGTTGTTTCAATCAGTGAGGAGAAGTCATATCTCGAGGTGGTTGTATTGTGTTCTGCTCCCTCGCCAATTAAACTCAAGAATCTTCATCTCGACAAATTCAGAGTATTTTAAAGTAAATGTAGCTCTTGTTTAGCTTAAACATATCCTCCTTCACCAATTTTTATTAACAAGTTTCGTTTTTTGCGTTGATAAAAGCTTTATCTAGGCTACTATCACTACTTTTTTTCTTTATCTTGAAAGCTGACTTGGAAATTGAGATAAAAAGTAATTTTTAATAACACTAAGAGCGTTTATATATTTGAATTTTCGGCGATATTTATTTTCATCTATATTTTTATTCTCTAGTATATAATTAATATAGATTAATTAAATTTCATATCAATTCTTTGCTTCTTTAGAGCATTAAACAGGTGTTGTTTTTTTTTCTTTTATCGTTATGGTAATTGTAATAATTTTATGTAATATCGATAAATATTATTTCTTTTGCTATTCGTAAATCAATTGTAAATTAATTTATTGTTTTTGCACATTTAATGTTCTTCTCCTTTGATAACTAAATACAATTATTCACAATAAATATTCACAGTGTCATTCGTATACGTAAACGTTAATTATAAATTGACGTTTAAAAATTTCAGTATATACTAGCTTGGACTTATATGACATTTGTGAATACAAAAAAAAAATAAATATTAATTTAATTATTATATGATCCATAAATACATTAAGTATATTCATATTGGAGTAAAAAAAAAAATATATGGGATTGATTGATGTGATTTTAGCGAATAGATTAACTTAATACATAATTATTAATAACGAATGAATGTATCAAAACAAAATAGTATTTTGTACTGTCAGCCGTACGTAATAGCAATGCCGATAACATGTAATTATTGCTGATTTTCAATTTTTCGTTAATTATTGATAATGTTTTTAATAAATTCATTAGCATGTAAAAACCCATAGAAAAACCACTACTTACGGTGCTATTGCAAAATCCTGAATTCGCATTATGTAATTAAATTGCGCGCGTGTGTGAGAGCCAATAAGCATAGAACTTCACTGTGCATACTTCGGCGAATGTATCCCTTCTACATCGATTATAAGAATTCGTAATGGCTGTAGTTATCGTACGCTTATTTTGTTGCTCGAAAGGGATAGAAACTAATTGAGGAGCAATCGGATCAGCAATGAATGGAATTTTTTTTTTTTTTTTTTTTTTTTTTTTAATTTTAAATCGCGACAGCCGATGTAGAAGAGAACGACAATATCGGTTGAGTTACGACTCGCGCGCGCGCGCGCACAAACTCACACGCGCGCACGCACACGCACACACACTTGCGCGTAAATTTTATTCTTATAAATGGCGCTAGTTTGATTTTCATTATTGCTACTTTCTCATTAAATTTTTGACGGATGATCCCTTGTTTTAGCCCGATATTGTCGACTGTAGATTTTTGCAGATATTTGTTTGAATTTAGCTTGTATATTGTCTTTTTAATATTAGTAGTAAGCAATTGCAAAAATTCTTGTTTTCATTTAGAACGATTAATTTGATTTGACTTGTATTGTTTAAGTATTTAACAACAAATATCCGTAGTTAAAAATTAGAAATACAAAAGTATGATAGTCTGAAATTTAAGTTTATAAAATTTTTTTAATAATTATATCAAATTGAGCAAATAAATATCCCTTCATTTATGTATTCATTAATTTTTTCTCACCAAAGTGGAACATTGTTGCATTTCGTTTATCGTGAGCACATTTTTTTGTTGTTGCAAGCGTTTGTTTGCTATAATGTTCGAATCATCTTGAAATTGACATTGACATTAATTTCCTTTTGTTTATAATTTGTCAGGGTTTATAGGAATTGTGAAGCGTTTCATGTTTGCCGGCAAATCGATTGTCTTTTAATTTTTTAATTCATCAGCTGTTTCCCATGTAATGGCTATAGGATAAGAAAAGTATTTCATTGCTGTCGTCGATGCTTATAGAAAATTAAATAACTTTATAAATGATTAAAATGAGCGAAATAATTTGAAATATGCTAATGCTTATTCAGAAGTTACGTTGTGTTTGTAAAAGTAAATGCCAGTACGTAAGTATGATTGTTTTGGTTATGTTTATAGTGTTTTTATGAGGTTATATATGCATTCTATTCAATTTTGTTAAATTTATTTTATAATCTATTATAAAACTGCCGTACTTAATATTGTTATGATCGTGAATTTGTAATTGTTAATTATTATCAATTTTAGATTGCCAAACGATTTATAGATACGAATAAGTGGATTAAAATACACATGTCTAATAAAAATCTATTGCATCGAAGTGATCCAGTCATTAAGATACTGGATACACCGGAATTCAAATCGCTCTTTACACCCGAATTAATTCATTTGTCAAATATTTTTAAGAAATATAATTTTGAACTGAGAATAGCTGGCGGAGCAGTACGGGATATATTGATGAATATTAATCCAAAGGACCTTGATTTTGCTACCAATGCCACACCTACTGAAATGAAAGACATATTTACCAATGAGGACATTAGGATGATCAATGGTAATGGGGAGAAACATGGTACTATAACGTCGAGAATTAACAACAAACAAAATTTTGAAATTACCACGCTTAGAGTCGACGTTGTAACAAATGGCAGACACGCGGATGTTGAATTTACAACCGATTGGCTATTAGATGCGAGTAGAAGAGATCTTACCATAAACTCCATGTTTTTAGATTTAAATGGAAAAGTGTACGATTATTTTTATGGCTACGAGGATCTTACGAAAAGAAATGTTATATTTGTAGGGGATCCTGCGGAGAGAATATGCGAGGATTTCTTACGAATTTTAAGGTAAATTGTTGGCAAAGTCGTACGTTTTGGTTAGGTGCGTTTGTATAAGCGAGCCGTAAAGTAGCCAATAACTTTTTTTTCTTAGGTACTTCAGATTTTATGGGAGAATCAGTGACGTTGGAGATAACTTTGACGTTAGAACGATTCAAGCTATTAAAGACAATGTCAGTGGCCTTGAGATCATATCCGGAGAAAGGATATGGCACGAATGGAGTATGATTCTGGAAGGAAAATTTTGCAGAGAAATAACGAGAAAGATACTTGAGTGCGGATGCGGTAAATACATGGGAATTCCTAAGAATCCCAATTACGATGAATTCGATAAAGTTTGTTTGAACGCAGAGAAAAATAATGTTAAACTGCGACCAATTTCTTATGCTACCGCTCTATTAAATAACGAGGATGAAGTGCTCGACTTGACAATGCGTCTGAAGTTTACCAAATATGACAGGCTACTGGCGTTGTCTATAGTGGAATATCGAGAAAATGAGCTGGATGAAAATTCTCTGAAATTTTATCAGAAATTGATTTTGAAAAGCATATACAAAGTCTCGGATGCAAAGGAATACGTATGTGAATTTCTTAGATATAAAGGTGCCATGGATCTGCTAGAAAAGATGAAAAAATTTAATACAAACTTTCCAGTCAGGGGTAGCGAGCTATTACCTTTCGTAAATGATAAAAGAATCATGCAACATGTAATTAATGAACTCAAAGATGTTTGGGTTGATAACGATTGTGAAATATCCTTAACAGAAATGAAAGATGTCATACCAAGTATAGTTGAGAAAGTTAAAAATGAAAGGAAGTACATGGATAATTCGTTTAAGAATAATAGAAAAAAAAAGTTTCGAAAATATTGACTTACTTCTATTAGGACTTGCGGTGTTAATTAAGCCATTTTGTAATAAGAATTTTATTTAAAATATACTGCATTTCAGTAAAACGACGTTGTTGCTAAATATTCATATTGCATATATATTTTATTATTATGTGTATACTTTTCTTAACTTTATATCCATGCATTTTATCAATGGAACTGATTAATTTCAATTGTGTAGGATAATTTACAAAATTGCGCTTAGAGATCAATGTGGCGCACTATTTGACAATTTCTAATCATCCGATATATTGATAAAGTCCAATTACAAGTCACGAACTGTCAATTAAATAACCGCGACCTGGAAAACTATTCGGGGTCAAGTTAAACCCTTCACACTGGTCGTTTTTATGCCAAGAATGAAGTTTAATTAAATTTATACTCGGCTCGGTGATTCACTCGAGGTCTTATAGGGAATTCTCATTCCTGACGAGCTTAAACGCATTTGTTAATAATGCCTCGAGTGAGTTAAATTTACTTAAATTGCCGACTTCAAATTTTAATAAATTTCTATTAATTCCCTATGAATGTGAAATGTAAATTCACACGTGTGTTTTACAAGATTTAGAAGTTTATGTGCATATGGTGATGAATTATTCTGTAATATTATATAGAAACTGCCATGGTTAAGTAATTTTTTCTTCTCTCCATAGGCAAAAGCCGTAACTATGTAGATTAATACGAGTTAGCGAATTCTTTTGCATCAATGAATTATTTTTATTTTTATTTACCATTACGTATATTAAAATGACTGTCGAGCGTTTTTTTTTTTGTCTTATTCATTTTATTATTTTTGTTTTTCAATAGTAGTATAAATAATAGATTATTTGTTATGCAGAATAAATTGTATTATTGGGGCAAGGAAAAAGTGACGCAAGTCACGTAAGTCTCAGCCTATATAATGTAAAAATGCTCAGTGTTTTTTTTCTCAAAATTGATAATTTTTCGGCGTGGAATGTGATTTTTTCTTTTCCTGTTTGCCACGTGTCAATTGCTTAAAATCATTTTCTATTTTCGTTCTCAAAACTCGAGTTGAGAAATACAAATTTTTTCTCCAATTTCAGGAAAGATAGAAAAAATTAATTTTCGAAATATTGGAGAGTTCTTTTTTCATTTAATTCTTCTTAATTTCAATGCTTTTTATTCATTCGATTATATATTATTTAAGAATCAATCTTACAAAAGAATGCTCGTCATATATAATTATCACAAATGTATAATTATATAAATAAAAAAAAAAAGAAAAAGAAAAGAAAAAATAACTTAAAATTGTTTAAAATGAAGCGCAAGCTTTATTATAAAGTTAAGTTGTATAGAAAGAAGGAAGTACATTAATCAGAATGTATATGTGTCTGTCTGCATTGAATAAACATTCATAAATTTTAATATGAATTTGAAGCATTATGAGAGTGGATAATAACGGTAGCGATAAAAGTTTATCATTTATAATAGAATTGTTATTGATTTCCATAACAACAACATATAATTCATAAAATATTTTACCGTTTGAATAGTGATTACAATTTAGGTGGGCATCCATCTTTCTGGTCACGACCTCTTGAATAATACTTTCGAGGCATATTAAAACTCGGAGAATTTTAGAGATTTTTCATTTAATAAGGTAAAACTTTTTTTTTTTTTTTTTTTTTTTTTTTTTTTTTTTTTTGTGGCTCGTTGCATAATAATTTTAAGGGGTTAATATTAAAAAGTAATCTATCAATATGACAATTAGGATGGAATAGTTTGAAAAGAATAATATAATATGTTTATTAAAGCGTAGGGAGAATCGTTAGATTGAAATATATTATGCCCAATGAGAATTTCTTGCGTTCGATAATTTTATATTGAAAATGTTTGGTAAGGATTCAAAAAGTTTTCTGGTTCATTAGAAATTCTATAAAAGTCGAGTAGAATTACCACCGTCCAGTAGGTGGTCTAAAATTTTAATGAAACTTGTTGGTTATTTGAACATTTAGTTGAAATTATCGGAAAGTTTCAGTTTTACGTTCGATAGGATCTTCGAAAATGTTTCGGCTCTAAAGTTTCATAAGTCGTTTTTTTTCTTCCCTCAGCTGTCAAATGTTTTCCAAATTACAATCTAATCATCTCGCTCGTTGTAGAAAATTTATTATAAGAAAAGTTATTATTTATTAGGTAATATAATCAATTCATATTACGTAGAGACCTGTTTAGAAAATTCAGAATCGCTATAAAGTCTTGAATATTCACACACACACACACACACACACACACACACACACACATATATATATATATATATATAGCGCTTAAATATTATATTACGACTCGTCGTTGTACATAAAGTGAAAAACAATTTATATATTCTAAGGTTGTTAAAATTTTAAGCGGCGCTATTACATTGTTATGGTATTTAAAATAATAATAGAAAACTATAACGACTTCTTGATATCTTCGGTTTATAGGATAAAATCGTGAGATATTGTGAGAATTTATCTTAAAAATCTCAATATTCATTGAGTTGATTTATACTATTGTTACTACCAGTCTTCCTACGATTATTAATATTTGCAACAACAACAACAACAACAACAACAACAACAACAACAACAGCAACAACTGATATGTTGTTATTATGCTATTATTTGTGAAACTACTGGTAGTTGTGCTTTTATTACTTGCTCATAAAAACTCATTAATGTTGGAATGATTTTTTTTTTTCACATATCAAATACCGAGCGCAAAGTTTGTAATTATGTAAATATTTTCTAATTGCTCTTTTATGAAATAACTGTACGTAACATATAATAAAAAATAAAAGAAAGAAAAACAAAACAAAACAATATAAAAAACAAGTTCGTTTTCTACAAACTGCAATGCGAAAATTTCATCGCCAACTTTTCACGTTACCATATACCTATAAACATTTTCTCTCTTTTTCGCATATATTATAGTCTCGGACAGTTTGATGTGTCACTCACCTGCGAAGTACGTCACATGCGAAATATTTTGTGTAAAATTAGCGAGTTAAAATGTAAATGTGGCGAATTTAATATTATTTTGATTATAAATAATATTTCGACGAATATGTATGTTTACATGATTTTTAACATTTTCTTAAGAATTTAACAAACACGTATTTATAAAAAAAAAAAAAAAAAAAAAAAAAAAAAATATCTTTTTTTTTTTTTTCTACAAATATTTTATCTATTCTCTGCCAACAATAGTCTGTAATTAAATAAATTAAGAAAACTTTCATGTCATTTTAATGGCCGACTTGATCGATTAATTCCTAAATATTAAATGACACGTCCCATATATATATGCAATGGTAATTTACAAATATCTGTTGTATGTAATTTCATAAGTATTAGATAAAACATTTAAATAAGAAACATACGTTATTAAAAGAAAATTAAAGTATTAATGCATGAAAAGTCGATGGAGCGTAAGCAAAAGTCTTTTTTCTAAGCAAACATTTGCTTCAACCAATTCAAATTGATCATTCATTTTGCAAATAATAGTGCGCAATGCAACGTCGAAATTACCATCGACAATTACGTTCTTTCACAATCGCGGCCGAGTACATTTTTCATTTTTCACCTCGGATCTTCGCCTATTTATCGCATTTGACTTGAAAACGCGGAAAAGTAATTGCCTCGGGGCGTGCGTTAACGCGATATTAAATACGCCCTTATCATGGTCGATTTGTGGCTAAAGCCTACGTGGGTGTAGAGATAGTCACGTAGATGTCGAGCATCGGGTAGCCGACCGAGAGAGAGAGAGAGAGAGAGAGAGAGAGAGCGATAGTTAATAATGGCGTTAGTTAGGCCTAAGATGGTAGGTAAGGTCCGAGTCGATCTTATCGGTTCCCAGCGCCATCCGAAAAAATGACGTCGATGCCTCCTCCCCTTTCATTCCCTGTGCCCCCTTCTGCCCGTCGTACACCATCCCACGCGATCCCTCTCCTAGGACTTCCCTAATTACTCGCGAGCCCCGCAATTAAAGTCTGGTTAATCGCAGGTCCGCGCGCACGTGGCTCGTTTAGCAAAGCAGTGGCGGTCTAACGCGGCTCCTCTTTTATTAGCTTTTATTGCGCTACGTGAGCCTGGCGCACAAAGTACGACTGCATCCGACATCTTTGGGATGCTTAATGTCGCGGCCGCACCAAGATTCCCGCGGACGTGCGGCCGCAGGTGGTGGCGCAGGTGCGCTCGCGCGAGATGTTTATTTTCTATTTACGCGCTCGGCGTCGCCCCCGACACGTTCCTAAGAGTCTTCGGCTCTTTATCACTCGGTGACTCGAGTGACTGAGAGTATCGCACGAGCACTCCTCGGGTGTCAAGCCGTACGAGTGCATTCTGCGACATCATCATTTTGTCCTACGGTCTTATCGTTTTAATTCGAGACGAGAGTAACGTGTGTGCGTGTGCGCGCGCGTGTGTGTGTGTGCGCGCGTGCGTGTGGCGGTGTGTGTGTGTGTGTGCGTGTGCGTGCGCGTGTGTGTGCGCGCGCGCGTGTGTGGGTGTGTGTATTACGAATTAAGTTATATTAGGCTTCGCGGCTGGCATGGCTTCGCCCAAGTCCTATTGCATTTGAAAAATAAAGCTTGCCGACAACGGGGCGAGGGGATGGGTGATGGGGGTATGGGGGAGGGGGAGTGATTTACTTCGTGATAATGCTAACGTTCCGCAACGGAATGATTGTACTATGCCAGCCGTTAATTGTCGCGTAGAGCGAACGATCTTTTTCGTTTTAGATTCGTCCGACTTGTCGCGTGAAAATCTCCCCCACTCGGCTGATTTCCCCTCCGAAATTCCATGCACGAGACGGACGTTTAATAATACGAAGATTTAGACGATGATCGAAATGAAAATGGAAAATTAAAATAGAACTGGAAGACGCATATTTTAGGCATTGTGGAGATTAATAACCTTTATTGTGCAAAAATGTTAAATATTTGTTAAAAATCAATAGGACATTTTTCATAGACCAATTATATTCCACGATTATATTTCATAGGGAGAAGAATAAAAGAATAGAGAATAAT